TGATGTATGGGTGACATAATTTACACATGCACATAAATCATGCCATTGCGTACCCCTGTATATTGCTAATTACATGGACCATTAACTATACAAGGATATACTATGTAATATGATAGCTTTAACAACGATATGTGAGCATGTGACAGCATATATAATTGGTCTCCAGATGCATATATAACACACAAAGCTACCAAACTAGAACTAGTAGCGTTGGCAGAGAAGGAAGAACATAGTGCTTATGTACTCTAGTGCTTTGTAATCATCGTCATGTACGACAGCTACAGGACTAGAAAGATTAGGAAAAAAAGCACTATAAGACTTGACAGATGCCATATGGAACAAAATAGGTTACGCACTCTTGGACTAACTAGGTACTACTCACTCTTGGGCATTGACTGCATGATCGGAGACGGAGCACGAGGTGCAATGTGGCCCAGTCGTGGATGGCATAGTGCGCCAGGGTGCGACCATCTTCCAGCTGTTTCCCGGCATAGATCAGCCTCTGCTCGGCGGCGGGAATGCCGTCTCTCTCCTGGATCATGGCCTTGACACAATCGACGGTGTCCAGCTCGTCAAAATAATGGGTAGTGGTCTTGCCAGCAGTCAACCCTTTGAGAAAGATTTCGATCTTCCTTCTCGGGCGCAGACCGAGGCGAAGAGTGGATCCATCATGGATGCGGTAGTAGGACACGCTGCGTCTGTCGTCTAGCTCCTCGTCGTCAAAGGTAAGGCGCTGCTGCTCATGAATCTTGGCCTTGACGACGTTGATGGTGTCCGACGGGTCGACCTTGACGGTCATCTTCTTGCCGGCGAGGGTCTCGACAAAGAGCTTCATCGATCTGTTGAACGAGAGCGAAAAACATCAGCAACTGGGAGGGTTATATCCAACTACGGATAATCCTAGAATGAACAAAACAAAACCTAATTAACCCATTGACGGATGGTGATCAACAAGCAACCTAATGGAGTACGTACGTTCTAGTAAAATACAGATGAGATCAACAGCTAGCTCGCGTACCTTTTTCGGCCGGAACTCGACGACGACGAAGAGGCGGAAGGAACCGATCGATCGATGATATGGTTTGTTTGCTCGAAAGCGATAGATGGATAGATCGATGGAGACGTGAATCTAGGGATTGACGATGTGTGTGTATATCCGCCAACGGCCCACATTCCATGGGTATGGTTTAAACCTAACCCTAGCCCTAAACCTAACCCTAGCACCAACATAAAAACACCCATAAGAATAACCCTAGCATACTAACAAAGCCTAACCATACAAATTGACAAACAAACGTCTCACATTTCCATGCAAATCTCTAGATCCAAACAAAACCAGGGTTTCCCCAAACAAGCAACAAATGAGCAATGGAAACTTTACTTGGATCAAAACAAGGGGAATGGAGAATATTACCTTGAGGGAGGGTTTGACTTCGAAATCCACGGACAAATTCTTCAAATTTGCAAGATTTGGGAGAGGATTTGAGAGGGGG